TTAGGGTTAGGTTTAGGGTTAGGTTTGGGGGGGTTAGGTTTAGATTTACGCGTTAATTTTAAGTTTACCGCTCATAGTGTGCTGTTTTCGTTGCGCTGTGATGACGTCACGTACGCGCTTTCGTCGAGCGCGCTTTAGTCTACCGCGGTTTTGTGGTGGAACCATCAACAACACTTCACTCTATTTTTCATTCTGTCACATTGTTGGAAGATCCTGTAGGAACACCTCCCAGTCATTTAGTTTTTATTATTCTAAATAATTTAACATCACTCATTCTATATTATTTATTAATTTAATGTTTCAATCATCTTTCATGTGCACTTTAAAAAAAATACTCAAAATTATGAATGTGTATGAAATACCAATAGTCCAATGCTAATTATTTCAAGACCTCAAGTTTATTTCTCCTACTGAGAAAATGGATTACAGGTAGTCCTTGACTTACAACAGTTTATTTAGTGACTGTTCAAAGTTACAAGAGCACTGAAAAAGTGACTTATGACAATTTTTCACACTTATGACCATTGCAGCATCCCCATGGTCACATGATTTGTATTTGATGCTTGACAACTGACTCACATTTATGACAGTTGCAGTGTCGTGGGGGTCATGTCATCAACTTCTACAACCTTCTGACAAGCAAAGTCAATGGGCAAATCAGATTCACTTAACAACCGTGTTACTAATTTAACTGCAGTGATTCAGTTAATAAATGTGACAAGAAAAGTCGTAAAATGGGGCAAAACTCACATCAAATTTCTCAGTAAGAAAGATTTTGTGATCATAAGTCGAGGACTACATGCATTTTGTGTGGGTTTTTTTTAAAAAAACCGCTTACCGATCTATAGACAAATATCTCATTCTATGGTTACTGAGTTTACCATTAAATCTCAGTACATCAAGTTTTTCAGATCAGCTTTGCTCTTTATTAACTTCCCCATTGTTGGTTTAAGAGTGATGACACAAAATATTTTTTTGCAAGCTGATTGGCTTTTGCAATATACAGGGCTAGCTATTTTGCAGCTTCTCAGGCAGAGCTAACTTAAAATTTGGCAGGGATGGGGACTGCAAGAGAATCTTTTACTTGACCAAATCCTGGTCTTTGCTTTGGACAAGATGAAGAGCGGGGTTGTTTCTCCATCCCACCCCCACACTTTTCTTCCCGTCTTGTTAAAAACAATGTGATTATGAAGGAAAATTGCTGCAGCTGTTAGTTGGGGACATGTTTTGCTGGCAGTTTGAATCATCAGGAAATTTTGGCTCAACTTAAGACCACACTGAACACTGAAAAAAGCATTGAAGATTTCTCAGCAGTATTAAAATATTGCCCCAGAGAAGATTCTAAGTGAACGTGTCAGTTATATCAGGAAGAATCAAATCAATGATCTTTTCAGTATAGTTAATCTCATTCGATTTCAAGGTTGACTCATCCTTCCATCCTTCCGAGGTGGGTGAAATGAGGACTCAAATTGTTGGGAGTAATATGCTGACTCTGTAAACCACAACCGCTGTAAAGTTCTGTAAAGGAGTATATAAGTCTTAAGTGTTATTGCTATTTCAAATCACTATGAAAAATGGTACAGAAGTTATAGAATAGTTAAGGTTTCAGGGAAAGAAACCAGTATATGAATAATTCCATATATGACCAGATATAAACTGGTTTCACATATTGAGCTATGACTTGAATCATTACAGTTTGCTAGTTGAATGCATGCAACGTTTAAAGCCATAAATTTATTTATGAACCAGAGTTGTCAAGCTTTCATAAAATAGTAAGCCAAAAGTATACAAACATCACAATGGTTTGGAGGAATGTATGAATTCCAACAAAGAAAACTAAATAGAAATATTGCAGATATTTTTTAGAATGTATATATTCAAATATCTTAAATGTAATGGATCGTTCTTTATCCACCTCCATTTTGCCAGCCTGTTTAGGAACAGTTGGAAGGCAGCACAAGTGTTAGAAGCCAGATTTTTTTTTTAGTGACCAAACAAGAGTAGGATGATACATGGAGTTATTCAGTGCTCCACATTTGATTCAGAAGAAATTCTCAAGATGCATGAAAGATCCTGCTTGTGACTCATTAAAGCAAATGGATGTTTCTACAATTGTGCAATTGCTGACTTAATGAATTGCCAAAGGTTTACATTTATGTTTCCTTCCATCTGAAATACCTCTTCCTTATCAGATCTAAAACATCATACTTCCAATGCATAATATTTAAATGAGACTGAAGTATGGTAGTGTGTTACATCTAGGGAGTAAATATATTCCCACTCAGTTGTAATGGTGACTGTGTTTTTTTTTGTTGCAGAATGAAACCTGTTTCCATTTACTTTAGCTTACAATGATGTATACACTATGTCATTGAATCCATTGCTAAGTCCAGGCAAACCTTTCAGGAAAATTTCCTATATGTTTATCCTACTTAATGTGTGTTTTTTTCTTAAATAAATATGACAATTTATCTCTGAGATATTGTTCCTGGGATGAAAAGCAAGAATACTTTAAGATTGTCAGAAACTCTTGATATTTTACATGCTGACATCTACAAACAGAATGACTTAGTTGTTCTTGAGTTCAAACCTGTGTGAAAAGTTATTTCTATAGCCAAAGGGGGTAAAGTTGTACATTTTGTTAGGCAAGATTCATTGATCAAATTCCAAGAAGGAATTGGTGTGTTTAAGCAGATTTTGTGTTTATTTTCAGATCCCTCAAAACATCTTAATCCTGGTCGTAGATTAATCACCATTGCAGACAATCTCCCTTTGACTGACTAGAATTCCTCTTTGGCACTTAACCAGGTACTGTACATATTCTCAAGCATCATCTTCCAGTTTACCAGTTGGATTCAAAATAATATACAGGACATAAAAACATAGTTGCTGTGTTCTTATACTGTGTCTAAATCAAATTATGGTTTAAAATGTCAGGTTCCATACAATACTGAGCCATAAATTATCTAATTGTCATTTAGCCTTATGTAATATGTTGAGCAAACCTAATCAATAGGTGGTAAGTTTATATTTGTGGGAATTATTGGATCTGGAGAAGGATTTGCTCAGCCCCATAAATAGGAGAGCCACAGTTGGTGATGCAAACCATATAGCTTTTAGTGTTTTAGTTCTCAGTTCCATGTACAAATTGGATATCAATCTATGTAGAGTATCCAAATATGGGATTGCAGTAAGGAGATCCTTTCTGTTTTGTGATATTCCAACTTATTTTACAAATTTAAATATGATATAATTAAATAATTATGTGTGAATGTTTTAATTTCTTCTTTCTAAAAATAATCAGTGCTTTTTTCTGCTCTCAGTGTCTAGCCCCTCTTTCCATCAGTTTTCAGTCCTGTGGTCAAAGTCCTTTACATTTATGTTGATTTCTGCAGCTCTGTACAGGTAGTTTTAGTTATCTACTTAAGAGATCGTGTTGTCCATTAACAAAAGAAGTTGAATATTTACTTAGCAGTCAAGGGCATTTAGTTCTGTTTTGCCCAATTCTTTTGAGATCTAATTATTTTGTAACAAAAAGCTAACCTATATACTTGCTGAATAAGATAACTCGATTTAAACTGCCTGTAAAAAGTTTTGCACGTTTTTACTATGAACATTTAAAAATCTTACATATATTCTGGTTGAAGAAGAGAGTGTTTTTGTTGTCCTAATTCTCAACAGAATGACATACTAAAGAACTCAGAACTTTCACACAATCTATTGTGAGTATTAGGAAAAATTCAGAATGTTTTTAAAAAAATGTAAGCTGCATTTTGTTTTAAGTGAAATTTTTGCTTTTTCACCACAGTAAAATGAACTTTGGTTTACAAATCTTTCCCACATTCTTGACATTGCAGCTGCTCTTGATATTCTTCCAACCATGTCAAAAACAAAATCAGCATGTTCTGCCCTACCTTCTTTTTTTTCTTGATTACATGGAATAACTTGTTGAATTAGAGTAAAATATGACCTTATTTTTCATCTGAGCATAGCACTCTAAATCCTTTTATTACCTGTTATCATAACTGCTTTGTATGGCAAGTCTGTTATTCTCATATATTAGCTTATTCCAACTTGGTCTCAAGCAACAAATTTTGCAGCCAAGGGTAGTGTTGATCCAATATAGCACGGGGGGGGGGGGGGGGAACCAGCTGAGTAAAGTGTTGTACACAATAAAATAAAACTAAGTTTTGTCAACGTTCATTCAAGTGTTTGTTAGAGAATAAAAGCAGAACAAAAGCTGTTCATTTTATCTGTTTATTCATCTGTGCTTCAAAGACAGTTCTGCTGGTAATAAACAATATAAAGAATTATATTGTCTCAAATTGCTTTGTGAATTTAATAGAAAAAAACTAATAAAGCTTTCAGTGGTGATGTTTCACACATCATGGTTTAGAATGTGTGAACTATTCAATGGTATCCCATGTTAGCAAGTATTTTAACTAAAATTCCAGGTTTATATCAAATGTGCCGTAAATCAACGAAATAAGAATTTTCTCATGGCTGTAATTCAGGAGTGTTATGAAAAAGTGCTTATGTAATTCTAAACAGAATAATCTTATTTCTTTATATACTGCATTGTGATTTAACAGCCAGAAATTCTCCAATAAATGTAAGGTGTATAGGTCTATATATATACAATAAAGAAACATCTTTTTTATTTGAACATGACTCCTAGTATCTTCATGGACATGTCCCCATACTTTAAACACAATTGAAATGATTTGCCATTGCTACTACCCACCCCCCTTTCCCTATACTGTGGTTTAAGCCCTGATAGTTTCCCACAGAGTGTCTCTCTCACAAATTGCAACATCTCTGCTTATATGTGAACCCTGCCTTTGTGATTTATAAACTCTGATTTAGCAAGATACCATGAGTTAAATGGTACTTCTTTTACAGCCCAGTAAGCTTGTTGATGCAGACAATTTTTAAACAATTTTGCTAGTCTTGAATGCCTTTGCTTGGAGAAAAGCTGAAACATTTTTCAGGTTGGTTTTTATTATTAAAATAATAAATTAAGGTTCCACCACAAAACCGTGAAGCCCTTATCCGCGCCGACATAAGTGCGGAGGCAAATCCACGCCGTCCGAAGCGCTAAGAAAAAAACGACCCTACCGCGATGACATAAGCGCGGAGGGCAAATCCGCGCCTACCGAAGCACCCTAAACCTAGGGGTTCGCAAGCGGGGCGGCGACGCACGGTGGAGGCAGGCCGCCCTCTTCTTCCTCAACAACATCTCCTTGGACGGGCGGCCGCCGCCGCCGGGCAAGCCCGCTTCGCCGGCCCCGGGAGAGCCTCAGCTGCCACTGCTGCTGTGTCCTCTGCCGCCGCCAGCGCTTCCCCCGGAGGAAGAGGCAGGGCGGGCGGTGGTGGCGGCTGAGGCTCTCCCAGGGCCGGCGAAGCGGGCTTGCCCGGCGGCGGCTGCCGCCCGTCCAAGGAGATGTTGTTGAGGAAGAAGAGGGCGGCCTGCCTCCACCGTG